AGTTTACTCAAGCCAGGAGGCAATTAACACAATAACTATTGTATTGTATGTCCGATCACATCTTAAAAATTAACAATCCAGGCTTTCGTAAAATTGTCCTGTGCTTCTGATAGTACTCCAGTTACATTTGCAGCAGGAAAATAAATGCTGAGTAAATAGCCCAAGCTGGGAGTGCTTTTTCAAATCTGCAGTATTTTTTAACTACAAATTCTGAGTGGGGACTGGAAGTAAATTATGCACATCACCCCAACTTGAGAGAATCCTGCATCAAAACTAGAATATACGATGCAATACAATTTACATTTATATAGAACTTTCACATCAGGGGGGCATTTGAAAGAACTTCACAATGCTGGAAAGCACCTGAGCTGGGGGCTGGATAGGGGAAAAATGACCGAAAGACCGGTCAAAAGGTATGTTTTGCGAGGTGCCATGAAAGAAGAGGGACACTAGGATGGAATTCCAGAGCGGGGCAGAGAGCCGATGGTGAGGTGGATAGGGCAGGGGACATGAAGCAGGCCAGTGCTGAGCGGAGGTAGGTTGCATGGAAATGGGTTTCCTGCAAATCAGTGTCAGACAGCCAGATTTTTTAACTAAGCAATTCAACACACAGCTCACTATATGCTACTTGTCTCTGTCTATCAGAATCCACTGGCTCCGCACACCAATATTTTTAAAAAAGGTGAATTAACTAAAAAAGCCAATGAAAAGAAAGTACAGAAATACAGCTCAAGTCATCTTCCAGAGAATAAAATCTTTCTCATATCAATTTGTCACTAATACCATGAACCACAATGAGAAGATGACATTTTGATTTGGTAAATTAGAAACACGTTGTGACACTACTGGTAGCTCCCAATTGGTTACTTATTGCATTACTGCTCGCTAACATGTAATACTTCACTCTGATGTCCAAATTTAGTTCCTTTTAAACAGTGTAATTTTTAACAAGATTTTCTGGCAGTGACTAATCTTATACAAAGAGAAATGTTGACAATTTGTGCAAATTCAAACATAAAAATTCTGTGAGGATTCAGCTCCCTAGGGATACTAGTAGAATGCACCACGGTCTATAACACAGATACAGTTTGCTAAAATGATACCACAATTCTGTAAATTAATCATTTTACTTTAAGGCTAGCTTTTCATCCCTCCTTCAGTGCTCCACCCTGTCAAAATATACCAAGATAAGATTGATTATCTTGTATTTCAGTTAACATCATAGCACTGAAGAAATACACACTAGTCTCATTTAAATAAATGACATGCAGGAAGAAAGCAACTTCCAATAGAACTGTCTGCTTTAAACCTATAGCGTACTTTTATTATAAGAAAAAATCTATTTGTACATAACACACCTATATTAAAAAGTAATATAAGATAAGGGAGCTTCTCCCAATGCCATGGCCAACAATCTCCCAAATAAAAATTGGTCATTTACTTCATGGCTGTCTGTGGGACATTGCTGTGCCCAATTAGCTGCTGTGTTGCTTACAAATCCAAAGTCACTACACTTTTATAGTATTTCCTGTGAACCCCTTTGAGGCATCTCGACGATGTAATAAGGACTAAACAAAATGCAAAGATTTTTATTCTTACAAATAAGATGAGGATGCCAGATATAGTCTATTTTTAAACAATAATCGGCTATCGTTCAATGCATTTGACTTCAATGATTTCCCCTACCATAACAAAAATACAAATTACTACTCTGTATGAAACCACATTTTCTTAATTCCCCCACTTCTGTGATAAATACAATTGTATTTTGCAACAAACCCACTTCATGACTGCTGATATATATATCAGTGCAGCCTCGGTATATAAGTATTTTGTTATAGTGCTAATTCATTTACAACCCGGCTGGGGCCTAGATGCACGCTGTGTGTGTTTGTGTGTGAATACAGCCAGTTCAGTTCCCGCATGCCATACCATTCCCATGTTACTTCACTGAATTCTGAGTCAATTGGTCACTGCTTACCTCACTTCCCCAGGAAGTGGTGTTGGCAGAGTCTTGATGACCTAGAATTCGGCTATTTTGATTTCCCATCCGCTAAATATTGCTTATTTCAGGTCATCAGGTCTCTGCTGAGAATGTGCGCTGCACAGCTCACAGGAAATCACGGCAGCGGTAATATGATGACCAGGATGTCAGGTTTTTATAAAAGAGATGAGAACTGAGCTGGCCGGCTGCTCAGGCACACAGGGAAACCAGCTGTTACAGCCTCATAATAAGATAGTTATGATTTTAATGGATTTCAAATACCTTCTTATAGTGAGAATGTATCACATTCGAGCGTTTAGCATACTGCCGGGTTTAGGGACTGGAAATATGTTTACCTTTTTTGTATTTTACCCGCCTTCGCTTTGAAATGTGAAAATCATAACAATGGTAGAACCTCCGACCCCCTGTCAATCACTGATATTTCACAAGCTGCAAAACCAGCCTCACAAGTTTTTTTAAAAAAAAAATGCAAATGTTATTTTCATCTTGGAAATTGCACATTGGCTAGAGGAAAGATTTTAAAATGAAATGTAGATAGAATAGCTAAGCCAGTTAGGAGTGAAACAAGGAAGCATTTGTTTTGATACAAACGGTTTGTGGAAATCTAGAATTCTGTCCCCCAAAAGGATGTGAATGCTGGGTCAACTAGAATTTTCAAGACTAAGGTCAATGGATATTTGTTAGGTAAAGGTATCAAAGAATATGGAGAAAATACAATACAAAACACACAATTACATTTTTGTATAGCGCCTTTCACATTGTGAGGACGTCCCAAGGTGCTGGACAGTCAAGGATTTGGACCCGAGCTGGGGGGGATTGGTTGGGATCAGGGAGAAGTGGAGGGCAGGGAGGGTAGGAGGGTGGCCGAAGGAGCGGTCGAAGAGGAGGGTCTTGAGATATGCCTTGAAGGAGGCAAGGGAGGGAGTGAAGTGAAGGGATGGAGATCCAAATGGTGGAGGCAGAGAAGCTGAAGGCCCGACCACTGATGGGGTGGGGTGCGTGGAGCAGGCCACAGCCTGCTGAGCGGAGAGGCTGATATGGGGTTATATTTTCTAATATCAACAACAACCTGCATTATAGCATCTCGGAGTGCTTAACAGCCACGTGGCTCGGAACCAAGCCCGAAAGGGAGGTGACCAAAGGTACAGTTGAAGAGGAAAGTCTTCTGATGTGATTTGAAGACAGGTAAAGAGGAAACAAGACAGAGGGATTGAAGCAAGGATCTCCAGAGATTTGGGGCAGCGTGAATGGAAGCAAGGCCGACAATTATGGAGTGGAGTGGACAAGGGATGTGCAGAACACCTGAGCCAGCTGAGCGAAGGAGGCTTTTACCAATTAGTATAATAAGAGTAAGAAACTGATAAGAAATTTGCACTGGTCATTCTGCTGTTGCATTCAGCATACACATGTGAAACAATTATTTTTAAACAATTTTTATGTTTAAACTCTATTTCAACAATAACATAAATGTCCTTTAAATACATCTAAATGTGTGTCTTTTATTATCTACTTTCAACCACTCGCAACAATTCAAGCATCAGCACAAAACAATTGAAATGTTCTAATACAAATACTTCAGAATACACTCTTGATATTGAACTTTAAGACCTATACAGTCCAATTATAATTCCACAATGTTGAGATTCCAAATTGGTTTAGATAAAATCTTAAAACTATAGTCCCCTAAACTCTTTGAGAACAATGGTTATCACTATTTGTGGAGTCCTATAGCTCAGTGGTGAGAGCACTTGCCTCACAAGCGAGACCTGGGTACAATTCCTGAAACGTTGGGCAAGTTTCCTTACTCCACATGCCTCTGTTTACCTAGCAGTAAGTAAAATAATAATAATAATTTGGTCACTCAATCCATGACTGTTTGTGGAACACTGCTGTGTGCAATTGGCTGCCGCGTTTCACCCACAAAATATACAATCAATTCACTTTACAGTCTATCCTGTGAAGTGCTTTGAGATATCTCGAAGACGTGATAAGTCGCTATATCAAATGCCAAGATTATTATTATTTTTATCACTCCAAGCCACAGATGTAATATGAGGACAGCATTTCTCCCCATCGCAATAGACCAATACAGTGTTGGTCAGACCCCGTCTAGAGAAATGGATTCAGTTTTGGGCACTATACCTCAGGAAAGATACATTGGTCCTGGAGGGGGTGCAGCACAGGTTCACCAGAATGTTACAAGGCCTGAAAGGGTTAAGTTACGAGGAAAGGCTGCATAAACTTGGATGTATTCCATTGTGTTGAGAAGGTTGAGGAGTGATTTGATTGAGGTATTTAAGATGATAAAGGAATTGGATAGGGTAGATACAGAGAAGCTATTTCCTCTGGTGGGGGAATCCAAAACAAGAGAGCATATAGTCTTGAAATTAGAATCAGGCCATTTAAGAGTGAAATCAGGAAGCTTTTTTTCACTCAAAGGGTGATAGAAATCTGGAATTTTCTCCCTCAAAAGTCTGTGGATGCTGGATCCATCCACACCTTCAAGAGTGAGGTTGATAGAGTTTTGGTAGGTCAAGGTAATAAGGTATATTGGGAGAAAGGGGGAAATTGGAATTGAAAGGATTAGTTGAGGTACAGATCAGCCATGATCTAATTGAATGGCAGAACTGGCTCGAAGGGCTGAATGCTCTACACCCTTTCCTATGTTCCTATGATCATCTCCAAAATTTCCAAGTTTGCTGCAAGAGACATGTACCTCCAGTTTGGTAATTTGTTATTTGCACTCCACCTTTGTGATTTATTTTAGTTCAATTTTACGGACTTGTCACAGATGTACACATTGTTATTTGTAATTACATTAGAAGTTGTGTCCTTGGCAGAATTTTCTAGTAACTTGAGGCTAACCAACCCTACTGGAGTAAGATTTCAGGTGAAATGTATTCTAATTGGCCTTGTGTTGCAACTTCTTGGATGTTATATACATGATATATGGCAGTTTTTCAAGGTGGAAAATCTCAATATATTGTACACTTACCTGTAGGAAGTGCATATTCCACTGTCCCAACCTGAATACATTCTTATTAACTTGTTTTCATCACTCACACCTGCAAAATACACAAAATATAGAAGATACAATCAGCAACTAAATAAAAAAAACATTTTTGTCCAGATGTTCTCAAAATAATGTTACTTCAAGGGGGAAACTATCTAACCATTATGAACCTGCTTTCTAATTAAATCCACACAAATATTAAAACATTCTTTTAATTCTCATCAGAAAAAAGGGAACAGAGAGATAGATGCAAGTTGCCATTTCTATTTCATCCTCACAGATGACATCCCAGTAGGGAGCATCGGATTGCATTGAGAGCTTAAACCACTATAGCCATCTTTTGGTTTCCTATCCTGGTTCCACTAACTCAGGGCAGTGTATCGATCGAGGCTAGTTTCTTCCTGCATTTTCTCAATGAATAATTGTGGGAACCCAGAACAGATCACCTTAAGTGGGTATGCTGCACATAAATATAAGGTAGATTTTCTACATCTTTCATTTTGTATCAATAATTTTTTTAAAAATTGTGAACTAACATTACCTATTTTAAAAATGCAACAACGCATAAACCCCAGGATATTTTTACATTTAAATAAATTGGTCACATCATATCTGACCAACAAATGGCAGAAATACTGTGCCCTAGGACTCCCAAGAGATGGAATCTGCATCTGGTTTATTAATAAAATGTAGCTCTGCAATGACTATCTGGAAAGGAAATGTTGAATCAGAAAATATTTAAATACACAAACATTCTGATAATATACATCCGTTTGGACCAACATTTTATTTTTTCAGATTAGTCAGCTAGACTTCAGTTGGGAGCACTCTTGCCTCTGGGTCAGATAGTGATGGGTTCAACCCTATGTCATGACTTGTGCCCATACTCTAAGCCAGACAACTTAATGGTTAATTGCATCAAATGGTGCAGAGTAATACAGACCAAGACTGTCTGAAGTTGAGTTTATGGGGCAACTGTGAAGATATGATCGGCCTCAGTGTTTCCAGTGGAGGGAAGAGAGCAAACACGATTTGCAAAGGTTCCTGACGACTCTCCACTGAACTCTGACTGAAAACCCATGTGCATGGGTCTTACATGAGGACATAATCGTGCTCAAATACTCCTCTTAATGACAAGCTATGCAGTTTTATCTGATTATTCTTCAGCAGTAGCCCAACACACAGTCTGAGGTCCCAAGTCTAGGCTACTGTCAATCTGCCCCTAATACTCTCCAGAATTGGGCAAGTAGGGTGAATCCCTCCAGTGAGAGAATGCGCTTCCATTCCAGACATGGAGAAATCTCCAAATCATGTAAATACATTCGCATAAGCCTCACAATGTAATGATGCAAATATGTTCTTGTCTCTAAGCAGATATCACAGGAACAGGTGGGTGTTGTATTATAAATATATTTTGACATCCAATTTCAGCAAAATGTTAGTGACTAGCTCACACACACCACCTGGGCTTCAGTCTCATTTCATCATGCTGATGATGTGAACATTACTGTAATGGATGTTAACAGTATTCCTGAACAAGTATCAACCTTCTAAAGTTTCAGCATGTGTGGTACATGAAAAATTGCTGACAATGTTACGTGATATTTATTGAAATGGTAAAAGGGAACTTCTTTTCCATTTAATTGTCCTAGTTTAAGCAAACCAGCTTCAGATATCTTTTAAAAATAACTGTCCAACTCATTTATATTGCTTCTATTTTATACGATAATAGTGACACAGCTTCCACTAACATGAGTTTCTTTGCATAAACAAATGTTATTGCAATATCGTCTTGAGTGTATTAGCACTCAAGATGCCACCCCATGTGAAGAGCACTATATAAATGCAAATTGTTATTGTATTATGTATAACAACTACGGTTAGTAGGGAAATCACAAAAACTTGGGCAAAAAAAACTCAAGTCCCAAACCAGAGAATAGTGTTTAATTCAAAGCTCCTTTCCCAATCAAAGCTACTGAACAAAGAAATCCAGCAGTATTCCCATTCACCTTAAACAATGGAACATTAAAACAATGGAAACAAAATGCAATTTTTAAGAATTAGGAGAATATGCAAATAGAACAGCACCTGAGCAATCTTACAGGAGATTAGATCTAAAGTGCATGACAAATCTGATATTTACTGTTTCTTAGAATTATGGTGTTTATAAGGACAAACCTCAACTGAGAGGACATCTTTTGAAGGACTAATCTATCTTGTTTAACAGACGTACTAGCTGCTGCTGGATGTCAAATGTCTATGTTTCTGGGACAGGAAATTGTTCCCATGTACGAGCTGGATGGAATGCTTCTTTTCAAAAGATTGGAAAACTAATTCAGTCTTATAGGTTTCCATGCGCAAAAACAGCTGTTGCACCTGAATTTAACAATCACCTCTATTTACCAGTAGCCCTATGAATGTAACAGTAACTGCTTGGCAAACCAATGAGCTCATCGTTAGAGAATTTGGTCATCAAAGCATGTTTGTCCTTATAAACACCATAATTCTAAGAGGCGACTAGAGACAGATATAAGGCATGTTGGGTCACTGCAATAGAAATCACGCTTAATTCCTTTGGGTTTTCTGAGGTTCTGGCTTCTCGGTCCTTTGGGTAAGAACAAGTGCATTATCTGTTCTGATCAGTTATTCCTTGGGCTGTGCAGTTCCTGTCAGTGAGGTCTGCCTCTGAGGTCTCAGATTGATTTAGCCCTGCCATTCTGAGCCTCCCTATGATTTATCAGTGGGAGGCTGTACTCAGTGTGCTCATTCTTTGAGGCAATGGAGTGGTATAGCCACCAACGCTCTGAACATCTTCATGATTTATTCATGGAGGCTGGCCTTCTGCCCCCTGTTGGCTGGAATCGCTATTGCAGTGCTGCTGATTTGAGAAGTTTGATCTGCTCCCAAAAGGGGGAATAGAGAAACTGGAACACAGGTCCTTGGTCATCAGGCTCACACCGGGTTTGTCTGGGCTGGAGACATGATCCAGTGACTTGAGTTGCTCAGGTGGTCGTGAGTGAGGAATCGGGTTTGTGCCATCCTTTGACGATCAGGGATCCAGATTTGTGGTTGGGGATACTGGTTGCCTGGGGGGTTACCGGTTGCCTGGGGTACAATTTAAGTTCCCATTTGAGGAACGTGATTCGGTTTAATTCAGTTTAGTGGGGGTCAGTGGGGACAAACACACAAACAACAACAACAACAAGATTCCATTTATAGAGCGCCTTTCACGTCAGGAGGACGTCCCAAGGCGCTGGACAGTTGGGTCAGGACCCGAGCAGGGGGGGAAATGGTCAGGGTGAGGGAGGGAAGGGAGGGAGCGAGGAGGGGGTAGAGAGTCGAGAGGGGAGGTGAAGGCACGGTCAAAGAGAAAGGTCTTGAGACTGGCCTTGAAGGAGGAAAGGGAGGAGGCGGCGAAGGCACTGGGGGATGGAGTTCCAGAGCCTCGGGGCTGAGAGCCCGGCCACCGATGGTAGGGCGGTTGGGGCGGGGGATATGGAGCAGACCAGAGCCAGAGGAACGGAGGGTACGGGCGGGTAGGTAGGGGTATAGTAGGTCGGAGAGGTAGGAGGGAGCAAGGCCGTGAATGGCCTTGTAGGTGAGGATGAGGATCTTGAATTCGATCCTCTGGGGATGGGGAGCCAGTGGAGGCGAGCGAGGGTGGGAGTGATGTGGTCGCGAAGCCTGGTGCGGGACAGTACACGAGCTGCAGAGTTCTGAATGACCTGCAGCTTGTGGAGGGAGGTGCCGGGAAGGCCGGCGAGGAGAGAGTTCCCATAGTCCAGCCTTGAGGTGATAAAGGCGTGGACCAGAGTTTCAGCAGCGTGAGGGGTGAGGTAGTGCCGTAGTCCGGCAATGTTTCGGAGGTGATGGAAGGCGGTGCCAGTTGTGACGCGAATATGAGGAAGAAAGAACAGCTCAGGGTCGAGCAGAACGCCGAGGTTCCTGATGGCTTTGAGAGGTGGAGAGTGCAGCCTTGGATGCTGATGCTGTCAGCGCCTGAGGTGCGGAGGCGCTGACGTGAGCCAATCAGGAGGGCCTCAGTTTTGTGCACGTTGAGCTGAAGAAAGTTGTCTCTCGTCCAGGATTCAATGTCGGACAGGCAGGCAGTCAGGACATCGGTGGTCGTGGAGTTGAGGGTATAGGAAACAAAGGTATAAGGGAGTAAAAATACCATTCAGCATCATGCACAGCGCCTTTAGTATTTATGACTATTATAGGGATATCCCATTACCAGGATGTGCATAACGCTGAATGGAATGTTTACCCAGAGATCTCTTAAACCATGGGAATGAGCATTTTCCCTGAAACAGGGAAGGTATCTGAAGGTATTCCTAACAATACAGCTCCTAAATGAGTTGAAGATGAATTGTGACTGGATATCCATTGTCACCGTAGGAACGTTTCTCTACAAGCATCTGAGCTGCAGCTTGCAGCAAAATTGATTCAAGTGAGCGATAACATTAGTTAAGAACAACCTGGCCATTCCCTTTGCCCAGCAAGCACAGGCTTGGATTCATTATCCACTCCCCACCCACTCCCATCCTATCTGCCCCACCATTGCCATTTTGTCCTTCAATCTCTGGAGCTCCATTGGCGCAGTGGTTAGAGCACTCGCCTCGCAAGTGAGAGGACATGGGTTCGATTCCTGGCAGTGCAAAACCCTAAGCAAGTTTCCTTACTCCACACGCCTCTGTTTACCTAGTAGTAAGTAGGGACCCAGTTATTAGTTGATTGACGGATCGCTTTCCAGGGTAATAATTCCAAAATAATATTTGGTCACTCACTCAATGTGTGCCATTGGCTGCCGCATTTCACCCACAAAATAGTCACTACACTTGACAGTATATTCTGTGAAGCGCTTTGAGACGTTTCTAGGTCATTTCTAGGTTAAACATAACACAAAATACTGCAGATCCTGGAAATCTGAAACAAAAACAGAAGTCACTGGGAACACTCTGCAGGTCAAGCATCTGTGGAGAGAGGAAAGGAGAGGGGAGGGAAAGATATGTTTTCCACTGAACATATCTTTCCCTCCCCTCTCCTCTCAGC